ATGTTTTCTCCTCTGAAAATTCTGAGGAGCTCCCCACCTGCACCACAAAAGCCCAAGGAGAGAGGCAGGTTGACAGAGTTTCCTCCCTTTACAAATGGGGAAAGTAAGGCTGCAGAGTCTAGGACACTTGGGGTCATACAGCTTCATCCAGCAGACATGTCTGCTTGGGAAGCTCGCTGGGCCCTGTGTTCCCCCTTCCACTGTGCTCCCACTCCCTATCTCTCTGAGCATCCAGCTCCTGCACATGTTCTGCCCTTGCCCTCTTCGGTGACACAAGTGGCTTCTCCCTCCAGCTCTGCCACCCACTCGCTGCCTGGCCCAGGCAGTGTTTCTCCTCTCTGAGAACCTCTGTCCCCATTTGCAAACCTGTCATTCCTGGGTGCCCTCTCAGAGTCAGAAGACCAGGGAGGAACCCCAGCTCTGCAGCTTACAAGCCTGGAAGCTTTAGGAAGTCTCTTTCCACTCGCTGAGCCTCGGTTTTCTCATCTGTAATTTGGGACTTAATAACAAGGGCTATTCTGCAAAGGCTCCTCTGCTCTGACATGTATCCCAGCAACAGAATTCCATCCAACATGCATTTATCATCCTTCTGGCTTGAGAACGCAGTGCCCAGGGAAGATGTAACTACTCTCTCATTTAATCCATCCATTTAAAAATGAACACATTTTGTTTTCCTTATATTGATGGTAAAGAGACTTTATATCAAAACAGAATAATAGTAATTAAGCCTACTTAACTTTCCATGTGTCAGTCCTAGCTCTGAGTGCTTTGCATTTATTTATTCATTCAGTCCAAGCACTGGACTCAGCAGTGGCCTAAACACATACTCCTTGACCTCGAGCAGCTGGCATCTACGAGACTAATTCTCAGGTGAGGACACAGGGCCAGAAGGGTTTGCATCACTTGCCTAGCTATATAGCTGGTTGGAGGCAGGCCTGGGTCTCATGCATGTCTGCCTGATCCAGGTCCACACTACAGAGTCAGGTATTGCTGTGCCCAGAAGCCACCAAGAGGACTTGTGAGTAGTTTAGAACCACAGAATGGGCATGCTGGGGTCTCTGAGCATGGAGTCCCATGGCCACTGGTATAACTGGATGGTTCTCAAGCTCCAGTGTGCCTAAGAATGTCTGAGGTACCATCTCTTCACAAAACTGCAGGCCTGACATACAAAGCAGGTTTTCAGGAGTCATGCTGACTATGCAAGACTTGCATCAGGTTAGGATGAAAAACTCATCCCACCTTGCTTAGCACTGCTCTGTTATAAAATGAAAGTCTCAGATCTCAGAAAACTCTTCAGTCAAACACTGAACTGAGACATTAATTGTCGAGCAGTGATGACCGCCCTACATGTTGCAGGGGCATTGGTCTCCTTCTGGTCATTAGACCAGTACTTGTGTCCTGCCTAAGACTGACCTACAGTCCACCTGTTCAAGCTCCAGTGCCAAGTGCACCCAAGTAGGGAGGTGCCCACTGCTTTTGGCCCACGGGAATGCCTCTTGCTACCCCATGGCAAGCCCCACCTGGCTGCCCAGTCAGGTGGTTAGGAGCTGGGCTTTGGGGTAGACAGAGGATGCAGTGAGACAGCATGGTACAGTGCCCAACCAACAGTGGGCCCTCCACACACTGTCCCTCTGCCACTCAGCTCTTACGAAGGGAGATCCATGTGCCCACTTGGGTGCATTTGGTTCAGTGGAGCCCTCACCACACTGCCCAGAGAGTAACAGCATGTGCTCAGGGATGCCCTAAAGCAAAAGAATGGCAGTACTGTACAGATGGGGCCAGATGACAGGGCCTTCTACAAAAAGATAAGGCATCTACCAGAAGATCCCAGGGAGGCTCTCAGATAAGATGTTCTGCCCTTAAAATATACCCACAATCCAACCACTTCTCTGTACCTGCATGGCCCTTCCCTGGTCCAGGCCAGGCCCAATGCTCCCTGAGATTCCTGCACAGCCTCAGCTAGCTCCCACTTATGTTCCTTCCCACTGGTCTCCACACTGCAGCCTCTGGAAACTCCAGTCCCTTTATTTCACTGCTCTGCTAAAAACTGTCCAAGAGCTCCCAGCTCACTAGCAGTAAAAACCAAAGCCCTAACCAGGGCCCACCAAGTCCATCCCAACCTCCTCGAAGCCTCCTCTTTGACCTCTTCTCCCTATGCTGCTCCGTCTGACTGCAGGCCAAGGTCTAGCACATGCACATACACATGTACAGACAGACACGTCACATGCACATGCACGCACACACCATCATTCTCTCTCACTTGGTTCTGATTTATTTTCCTTCTAAAGTTTATTATCCCACCACAATGACATGTTTACATCTTTTTGTCCATCTCTGAGGTAGGAGCTGATACTGCCTGATGTGCAGCAGGTAGGTGTTCAGTCAATATCGGTGGAAGAAAAGAAGGAATCAGAGTCCAGGAAATATTTGTCAAATAAACACATGAAAACCAGAAAAGCACTGCACTGAGTTAGAAGTGACTGCGGTATGTCACACTCAGAATTCATGTCTAACTTAGCCAAGGGTTTCCTGCTGAAATATTAAGGATAAATATTGAGGTTGGAGACCTGGGGCTGCTGTGTTGTTTTCTAGAGTGGTAGAGCTTTTCCAGTAATAATTTCTCCCATCCTCAAGATGTGAGAAAGCACAGATTTCCCATTAGGAGACATGGATGCTGAGTTCTCAGGGTAGGTGTTAGGCAGGAAGGCAGCCCCAGAGCCCACTTCAGAACCCTCCAAGACAAAGCTAAACCAGGGAGGAATGTTGACAGCATTGGTGCATGTGTTATATTAGTCTGTGTAGACTCTGCTATAGAAACAACCCCCAATCTTGCTGGGTTAGCACAGTTAGTAGTTTATCGCTCACTGACATCACAATGCATTTGGTGGAAGGTGGAGGTTCTTTTCCACAGTCATAGAGAGGCCCTATCTATGGCTCTATCTTCTGTGGAGCCATAGAAGATAGTGTACATCTTCTGTGCACCAAGGTCCCTGCAGAAAGGGAAGAAAGGTGCACAGATGTTTATGTTCCAGGCCTGAACATCAGACCACATTCCATTGGCCCCACCTAGATGCAAGGAGGTTGGAAAGGTACTCTTCCCATAGGCCCAGGAGACAAAGGAGAGGCTTCAGTGAACATGCAGCATTGTCTGACACCCAGGGGATAGGCAAACATGATTTCCAGGACACAGAGAGAATGTGACTGTAACCAGGTTTCTCGTCCATCAAGCTGAGATCCTGCGGGTACTGGACATCCTCATGGAGAAAGAAACACATGAGAGGGAATCTGGTTAAGGCCAGAATGTGTGTTTGGATGGGAGAAGGGTTCTGGAGGCAAACAGCAATAGAGACAGGAAACCAGAGAGGCAGCCTCATGTATGGGTGAGAAAAGAGCACCTTGGACAAACCCCTCCCCCATTCTGCCCAGATGTGCCATGAGCTCAGAGGGTGCTGCTCCTTTTGGCCCTTGAGTCCCTCCATCTCTGGAAGAGCCAGGGCACAGAACCAGGACATGGCAACCATGAGATGTCCCCTTTACCCCAGAAGGACCAGAATTTCTGCATCAAAAGAGATGTCTCTGTGTACAGCAGAGGGGAGCTGAAATGTCCCCAGGGAAAGGAATTCATAATACAGATGACAGTGATAATTAGCACTGACAGTGCTGATAACTGCTGAGGGGCTGAGCTGCTTACTCTCCAATGAGTGCCTCCCTTCTCCCTCACCCTGCATCCCAAACACAGCCAGCCCCTTCCATAACTATCACAGTCAGGCTAAGTACCAGGGCCACCCATCTCCCAACTCTAAGGCAAGAGTTTCATTGAATCTTTATGATTCTTGATCTTTTAAGGACCATGAACACCCTGGGAGTTTGATGAAAGCTATGACTTCTTCCCTAGGGGAGGAAAAAGTATATATGTAGCTTATCGAAATTTTTGCATACAATGTCAATGAATTCCCCAAGTCCTTAAAATCCAACCATGAGCCCTTCAGGGGTCAATGAATTTCTTCACTCACTCAGTAATTCAATGAATATCTATTACGTGTCTGCTAATAAGTGTCCAATGGGGCATTCTCATCTACCACACTTAATCAGCTTGCACAGAGAATTGCCTACAGAAAGGCACAGAAAGCCAAGTCTCCCTGCCCCTCTGCCCTACCCCACCCCAGCACAGCAGTCTCAGTGCTGGGTGCACACTGGAATCACCAACTTTTTAAGATTCTGATGCCAAAGCCTCACTCCAGACCCATTAACTCAGAACCTCTAGAGGTCAGACCCAAGTTCCCTGGCATCTCCAGTGGGCAGCTAAGGGGGAGCCTCTGCCAAAAAAAAAATCCAAATGTGTGTGTTAAAAGCTCCTGAGGTTGTTGTGATGCACAGCCCAGGTCAGTTCATTCATCCACCTCGTGAACACACCTACTGTGTGGCAGGCACTGTGCTGGACACCATGTTTTGCACCAGGGGGCAGGGAGGAGAATAAGAAATCATAATCCCTCCCTCATAGAGTTGACCTTCCAGCAAAGGGAACCAGCAGTAAGTAAACAATCCATAAAAATAACTGCAAATTGTAATCAATGCCACAAGGCCCATAGAAAGGGAGTGACATAAGGAATAATAAAAGGACCTTCTTGGGGAGGCCTGGGGAGGCCTGAGGTTCTCCTGAGGGACACTTGAGCTGATGCATGAAGGGCAAGGGGAGAGAGAGCATTCCAGGTGGTGAAAACTGCTGCAAAAGAGCCCTGCTGGAGGGAAGAGCTCAGAATAAGAAAGCAGCCAGTGAGACTGGGCGTGGAGGTTAGGAAGAGATTAGGTGTGACATGGGACCAGGCAGGACCATGTAGATCTGCCAGGGATTTAGGTTAAGCTCCTGACTGTGATATTTATTCTCTGCAGTTCTTACAGCCACCTTGGCAAGGAGGAGGAGGCTCAGAAGATGAAGTGATGTCCTAAAGAAATACAGCTCAGAAGGGGCTTGGATGGGATGCCTGCCCAGGTCTCCTGACATGACCAAGCAGAAGCTACATGCCCCTCAGAATCTGGTTCTCACTGCACCTGGCCATGGACGGTTTTTCTGCCCAACTCCAGTCCCAGCCACTAGTGTGACTAGCCAGGACAACATTGTTCCCTCAACTCTCACACTGCCCACCTCACAAGCCCCATCACCATGGGAGCCAGGCCAGCCAATCAGAGCACTCTGTTTTGAAAAGAAGCCTTATAAATTGAGCATCCTTTCCCTAGACAAGCACACCCAATGTCCAGAGGTCTCCCAGGGCACTTTCCTTCTGGATAAGCCACTTCAGTTGCCCCCCACTTTCCACCAGGATAGAGAAGAAGACTTGTGCCTGGAATGCTCAGGGCCAAGATGCAAGCCTACAGTCACCCTGCTTAGAGAACCAGTCACCCCTGCAGCCACACCATGACACCAGAGCGATTCAAGAGCCCCTGCAAGTTTCCAGCAGTAACCGGGAAAATGCCCGGAGCAGTGAGAGCAGTGTGAGGAGCACTCAACACTGCAGCCTGGAGAAGAGCAGTGACATCAGCCAGCTGAGCAGTGGGTACGCAGGGGATGAGGAGAACAGTGAGGTCAGCCTTGTAGGCAGCAGTCGAATCGTGAGGTTAAAAAGAAGACTCAGAACCCAAGTGGGCAACACCCCAACCGGCCAGCTGTGCACTACCTACTGTCCTAACCAGGTGAAGAGCCAAGCGGCCAGCCAGGCCAACAGCACCCAGCAGACTGGAGGGGAAAAGTGAGACCAGCCTGCCTGGCAGCACCATCAACAGCAGGTCCAGCAGCCTGGCCAGCCTCAGTTTCATCAGCCCAGGCAGCAGCTTTCTGACCTACCAGGTGAGCAGCGGGCTGTTCAGTCCCATGAGCAGCCTTCCCTCTAGCCAAGCCAGCAGCTGCCAGAGCATCAGGGTGGACAGCAATGTGCAATGTGGGCTGCAAAGCAATACCAGTCTCCAGGAGGACAAGGCTGGGGACAATGTGAAAGTCAGCAACCAGGTCACCGAGGAGAAGCAGCCTATGCAGAGGCATGTGCCTTCATGAAAAGGTCCTCAAAAAATGCAGATGTGAAGACCCAGCAAACCCAGACTTCACCCAGAGTGTTTTTGCCAAAAGAAGCAGGAAGACCTTTAGAAAGTTCACAGTGACTATGTCAAAACCATCAATGAAAATAACTTCATCTGTGTCAACAACGATCAGCAAGAGGGTCATATATAGCAAGAACTATCGAAAGTGAGTGCTACCTACCCTGAATCAGCAGTCTCTGAGGAGACCATCTACAGTGACAACCATTGTTATAAAAAGTGGCTGGGTCAAGATCCATCAGTACTGGGTCCACCTGTGTCAGAACCACTAGAGTGGTAATAACATCAGTCCTGTAAACACCACTGACAAGCCATCCCTAACAGCATCCATTAAGGACAAAACCATCCCCTGGGTCAAAACTCATTAGTAGGGACAAGCATTATCAATGTCAAGTGCCAGCTCTATTAAGAACCATCTGAAGTTAGAGATGACACCATCCTAAGTAACAAATACCATCTACAACCAGCACCAACCACAGTGAGCTCAGAAGAAACAGCCACCAACCCCTGGACGTGACGAGAGGAGACATGTCCCTGAGAGGCTCAGTCCCATCCACCCTCTGTGACATGCAATGCCCACAGGAGCCAGCAGGATCTAAAGAGGATATGACTGTACCAAGGGAACCACATCCCTGGGAATGTCAACCAAGTTGCTTTACACTGTTATTTTGAGCACTGTTTCTGGCAGCTTTGGCCCAGAATCTCCTCAGAAGCAAATGTTCCCTGGTGCCCCATTTGTGTCTCTATGTGGACCTCAGAGGAGGCAGAGAGACAGAAAAGGAGTCCAGAAATCATCTTGTGTTGAGGTGGTTGGAACAGTACCTCCTATGGCAGGCAATGTCATGACAAATGCTCAAGGGTGACAGAGACCAACCCAGCTGAGAAGGCTGCAATGGGAGAGCTCTGGGCCATTTAGTGAGCATGCTCCATCTCTGCCCCCTCCCTCTCAGAACAATAGCACCCTTCCTGGGGCTAACCACACAGACCTCAGGGGAGTGAGTGTGTCTGCAGAGCAGCAGAGGCCAGAACGGTCATGAAGACATCTACCAAGTACCTGAAGCAAAGCTGAGGCAACACTGAAGACAATAAATGTGTCTGGAGAGGTTGTAAGTGTGTAAATCTGTGTGCATGTGCCCCACTGAGGTTACATGCACAGCCAGAAAGACAGTAAAAACCCATGAATAGAGTAGGGCTTAGTTGCCAGCTCTGCTGCTTCTAAGCTGGTGATCTGGGTGACATCCTTAAACTTGCCAAGTCTCAGTTTCCTCACCAGGAGAATGGAAACTATAATACATTGTACAGATAGATAGGAGAGTCATGTGAATTTCATGAAAACACATTTGAAGTCCCTAGCAAGCAGTGGGCACTAAATGTTGCCTTCCCTTTCCTCACTCATCTGTAAAATGGGCACATGTTCTCTGCCTTGCTCCACTCACAGGCACAGAAAGGCCACTGACTGAATATGGAGAAAGTGCTCTTCACACACAAAAAGGAGATGGAACCACAGCATCTGCTTAGCAGTCACAATGGTTCAGCAGATGATTTTTATGGGTTCGAAGGGGGAAGAGTGGTTCCAGATTGATGTGCCCCCTTTGAGTATATTCTCCCCCACCATCCTCTGGGCAAATTTGCTCAGCAGGTCCTGAGCACCCATAAGCTAGGCAGGTAAGAGAAACCCCACTCAGTGAGCCCTCTCTGCAGGTGGCTCTGGGGGAAGCTTAGCTGTTTCATGCCCTATGGCTGCTCAGCCCTCCCCTTAGGACATTCCCCTGCTTTACAGTCTGAGAGAACTGAGGGTCACAGTGGCACTGCACAACTGCAAACTATAGCCCTCAGTCCAGAGGCCACAGACTCCTGGGACACAGCACAGCCACAACTGAGACTGCCACCTGGCCACCTGGCCACCTGGTGCCCCTGGCCACCACCTCCTGTGCCCCTCTCAGCAGGTGACATCACCCACTGCCATTGTCCAAGCCCAGACCCTGTGTCACACTGGAGTCTGCCTTGCCCCCACTTCAGCCCTACATTTCATTGGTCCCCATCCCTACTGCTGACCCCTAACCCATGCTGTCATCTTCCCCCCAAATCAGTGGCTCCTGGCCCTGGGTGCACATAGAAAAACCTGGGGACATCCAAAATATAGACACCCAGGCCATCCACAGAGACTCAGACTGGGCATGTGGGGTGGAGGATACCACTGCCCTGGTCTCCTCCTGGGATCCAGTTTCAATCCCTGGGGTCAAAAACTGACACATCTGCAGGGGCCAAGAAGAGGGGTGGGCTTTGGGAAACTGGAAAGTATGTGTCCCATCTAAAGGGAAGTCAAAAATCCAGAATTCTATGTAAAAATCTCCTAATTTTAAATATTAACCACAAATTCAAAAGCTTTATAAAAGTGAGGGTGGGGAAGGGAAAATGAAAACATTTCTGAAATAGGATCAGGCCAATACATCATGTGGTTTCTGCTTCTAAATGGAGAACAGAGCATTCTCTGAAACAAAAACCTGCTATATCTTTTGACTGCTTAAAAATTTCAAATTTTCCCACTGGCCAAAGTGTTTAACATGGCATCCTGACAAACTGACGAACTGGCCTAAATATGTTTCCTCCCTCAACTCCTGCTGTTTCCTTCTCCTAAACCTGTACATACCATCTCAAACCTGATTTCAAGCTCCCAGGCCTTTGCACGTGCTATTCCCTCTACCTGGCATAATTCATGTGCAGTATGATTTACATGCCATATATTTTGCCCTTTCATGTACAGTTTTATGATCTTTGACAAACACACACAGTCATGCATCCACCACCACACCAAAAATACCAAATAGTTCCATCACCCCCAAAATCCCCTCATGCCCATTTGTGGTCAGTCCCTGCTCCCGCCTCCATAATCACTGGCCAGTTTTCTGGCCCTACAATTTTCCAGGATGTCACACACATAGAATTACACTGCATGTAGCCTTCTGAGCCTAGCTGCTTTTCCTCAGCACAAGGCACTTGTGATCCACCATGCTGTTCCTGCCTTTTAAGTTGCGCTCCATAGTTCATCGGTTCTCTTGTCGAAAGGCATCATCCACTCCAGCTAGCCAAGCCTGGATCCTGCCTAAGCCCCACATCCCACCTGTCCCCAAATACCTCCCCATCCCTACTGCTGACCCTTAATTTGGGTTATTCCCAGTTTGGGGAGATTATGAAGCCACTCATAAAAATTTACATACAGGTTTTTGTGTGAACATGTTTTTAATATCACTTGGATAAATGCCTAGAAGTGGAAATGTTGGGTGGTTTGTGTGTTTGACTTCAAAGAAACTGCCAAGTCATTTCCTAAAAGTAGCTTTACTTTACAGTTTTTAGCACTTTGCCTTTGTCACAGTTTGGGATTTTTTGATTTAACTAACACCCTGTTCATTATGGTAAAAACAGAAGGTAGTTTGTATCAGTCTCCCATCATTAACTCCATTTCACATATGGGGAAGAAGCATAGAGCAGCTAACCATAAGTTCCTGGCAAGGCTGAGATTTGAACCCAGGCTACCTAATCCTAGAGTCCATGGCCTTAACCATTAACCTTTCTTTCCTCCTCTCTCTGTTTTGGCCCCTCCAGATGCAGGCAGCAGGCTGCACTCATACGCAGAGCCCCCAGCCAGCTATTTCTTGTCTCAACCCCTAGGTTCAGTGCCTCCCACTGAACATGCCTGCGTCCATTAGGGAAGGTGTTGATCCACACCCCTCTGTATCCTTGATGCCCACTTCCATGTCAGCAGCATCAGTGATTGTCGAATGAATGAATAAGCAAGCAAGAGAGTGGAGAAGGGAAGGCTGAATCGAAGGAAGACAACTGGGTCCTCCCACTGTCCAAAAACCAACGTGGCTCAGGATGCAAAAGTTAAACTTGTTTCAGTATGCAAGCTGAACCCACAGACTTCCATCCTCCTCCCACTGCCTGCCCCACAGATGCATCCCTCTTTCTCCCACCCAGCATGGAGAAAGCAGCAAGCACTTGAAGTGAGGGTCATTTTTCAAGCAGGCATAGTGATTTTTTTCTTTCCTGTCCACTAGCTCGGCGATCAGGGTGCAGCGGGTTTGAAATGATAGGTTGGCTGCAGGCCCTGACTCCTAAATTATTAACTGGGCTGGGGAGAGAGCTGCTTATAAATGCTGTCTATCCAATAGACCACAGCAGCTCGCAGACCTCCAACAGGCCTGGAGCAGGCAGGCAGAAAGGGGAGGGATTCAGCAGATGGGGACTCTCTTCCTGAGCCCTCCCTGCTCTCCATCCCCCTGCCTAGCAGGAGGTCATTTTTCATATAAGCAGTGCCTGACCTCCTATTCTGCCCATTCCAAGTCAGTGGGTAAAATGGATTTAATCTGGTAATTGTGGTTCTTTCTGAGCCAGGAGCTTGCTGGGTGAGCAGGACTCTCCTGTTGGGGTTCATCGTGGGCATGGGCAGGGAGTAGGGTCCACAGATGGGTCTCTAGGGGCAAAGTCTGAGCTCTTGTGAGAGTTATTAATGGAGAGTTCCAAAGAAAAGGGGAGTGAGGCAGGAGGATGGGGAGGCACCAGGGCTGGACACTGGCCTCAGGCTGATCCTGTGGGGAGTTCTGGAGTGACAATTATAACTCACAGCTGGTTCCGCCTTTGGTCAAAGGGGTGGCCTTTCA